GTTTCAATACAAATTGATACAGGAGCAGAGAAAAAATAGGTAAGGTGAATGATTAAATCTGGTTTCTTAAGCCTTTTATTCCTAAGATCTTAATTCTTCCCTCTTGCTAGTACACATTTCCTTGTAAATTAGCAATGAGAATTTGGTGTCAGATCAAGATAACTTCTACTTGAGTGTTCTCATTACTTGTTTGCTGGGTAAGGTATGGGAATTATAAGGAGAAGTTACATGTCAATCACTTCAAGGGGGAAAAGGGTCAACTGAAACCAAATAGTGTAATAATGATCAGGCATAAATCAAAAACTTTTTGTTTAAAAAAGAAGAAGACCCAAGGCTGTAAAACTGAATTTTAGAGTCAATTTTTTATGCTGAGAATTTTAGTTAATTTATTTTCTTGGAGATATTGTTCCTCTTAACACAACTATCTCATGCAAAATATTGATTGGAACTTCCCAAAAATGCAGTAGATTATTTTGAGGCCAACTAAAATTGTTATTTATCTGACAGTTTTAATGGGAAGAGAATCAGATCAAGTTATATTTTGCCAGTGGGATGTTTCAGGCTCGGAGCCACAAAACATAGGCATTTTTTCCAATCCCCTTCTCTCCCATACCATACCATCTTACAAAGCTGTTTTTCCTTGCAGCAAAAAGAGAAAGATGTCAGAAGAAGATGACACAAAATAACATTAATGGAACTACAAATGATAATTAACCTAATTTTGATAGGAAATTCTTAAATGTTTGAATTCAACTTGTTTTGTTCTCTGTAAATCTTACTCCATTACTGAAGGGGTGCATGTTAACAAGGCTGCTAGTGACCTTTAAGAAACTACTACGTGTAGATTCTCCTTCCAAATTGTCTTGTATCCTTTGGTGAAAGAGATAGAGAAGGAGACAGAGATGTGACATCCAAACTCACCCAGAGCTTGGCTCTGCATGACAGAGCAAAACCTTGGCACATCTCTGCCCGCTACTGCCAAAGTTTATCCCTGGCAGTTTCCGTAGCATAAAACAGCTTGAAGGGCCATGTCTCTTCTGGATGAGTTAGCTCTGGTAAATACCCACTCAATTAGGAATCCTGCATGCCTTTTCATATGCCCCCATTTCAAAGCTACATTCATTTCTATCAGGTATGATATCTCTCTCTTTAGAAAAACAGTGAAATGTGCAAACAATGCTACACTTCTTGCTAACAGAGTTCAAGGTCTGTACTGTGAGTCATGGATTAAGCTTTTCTGCTTGGATTTATAAAATGAGGTTTTGTAAATCACAGCAAGGACCATAAAAACAAAGTTAGCAAGATATTTATTATATCTCTGGGTTCAAACATAAGGGGAAGATTCCAGTTCAAACAAGTTTTTGAATTAAACAGGCCATACAGTGAAATATGGCCTGCTCAATTGACCAATGAAAGTGTGCATACCTTACCCAATATAATAAAACAAATTATTTCTCACAGGATGCCATGGAAACTTCACCTGTCTTTCTTATATAGAAAAACAACAAAACAAAATTATCCACAGATACTCTTTTTCACTTTTACTTTATTTTTAAATGCTAGTCCAAAATTCTGACATTAGATTTTATTGAAGGCTGCGATGTCCATAGATTGGACAAAATCTTCAAATTTGGTGATCTCCTCTTCCAAGAAGTCTGTTGAGATTTTGTCATCTTCAATGACACAGTTGATCTGTAACTTCTTGATTCCATATGCAAGAGGAACGAGTTTTGATGCACCCCAAAGAAGACCATCAGCTTCCACTGAGCGAACTAGCCTCTCCAATTCTTTCATGTCTAGAATACAAATTGTTAATGGGGTAAGATGGGGGAACTGTTAAGGCTTTGAACAACCACTCACTATAGATTGCACAGGAACTTTATATAGTGTGGTCATAAAATTTCATCATGCCAGGTTTTGTATTTTAAAAGAAAATGTCAGCAGATTGCCTTTAAATGTAACATAGAATATGAAAACTGATGAGACCTTTTAAAGCATGTCTAACATGTCAAGAATGTATCCATAGGTATGACCAAGTTAAGATTGTGAATTTTCTGATAATTTGAGCCATTTGGATGTTTATTTTTTGGTAGAGTGCCTACTCTTTGGATAAAACTCACATTCTTGGACTCACTCTTTCACTCTAAAACCCCTCTTCCCCAGCCAGGCAAAATTGTTCAACAACAACACCAACTGTTAAGTTATCAGTTACCATTGAAACAACCCAAGAGTCTGTCAGTCCTGAGATATCATATTTAAGTGGGCATATTTAAACATCTAATATAGCTGGTAATTATCACAAGTAGTAGAAGATTCCTGTAACATTAATACCTGTCTCGTCATCCCAGGGTTTTACATCCAGAAGAATACTTGATTTGGCTATAACAGGTTTTTCTAAGCAAAAAAAAAAAAAAAAGGTATCAAGATTTTACAAAAATGGTGAGTAGACTGAATAGTTGAAAATAAACAGGATTTGAATGGATTGTGAAAAACTTGGAAAGTTATTGCTTGAAAGTCATACCAGTTAGTTTCTTTGTTTGTTTATTTTCAATCTTTCTTTGTGGCTAATTGATGCACTCCACAGCCTGCAGAGTGTCTTGTGTCAATACTCAAATTCTAAAAGCATTATAAATCTAATAAAGTAGGAAATTAACTGGGGCAGAAGGATTATTGAGGGATAAAAAAGGTTTTTGTCCAGCTAAGGAAAACTTTCTGTTAAAAATAAACCTACTTTTGGATTTTTTCTCGTGGTATTTCTTTAACTCTTCTTCTTTTCGTTTCCTTGTCTCTTCGTCATCTTCTTCCTGTAATTCAAGCCCAAAATGTTCAATTCCTTAACCTTAATATCATGATTTTTGTGACGACAAACAAATATTGTTTTTGTAATACAAAAGAACCCTTTGAGACAGTTTCACCCTTTAACTCCCAAAAGTGATCAACATGAAACTTCTCCCCATAATATCCTTACATTATCCAGCAAACAGGTAATGAGAATATTCAAACTAATCAGGTAGATGTTGTTATCTTGATCTAATACCAAGTTCTCATGGCTAATTTATAAGGAAATGTGTAGTAGGTAGAGGGGAGAATTAACAATCAGATCTTGGAAGTTAAAGGATTAAGCCTATGACCCCTTAGAGTGACTAGCATCTAATTTAATCCTTACAATATCACCCTGAATCAAACATCAAAAGGTTAAAGGAAATGTTCACCAACTAAAGAAGCTCTTAAATGTTAAACAATATTCTTAGGAAGATGTTTCAAAGTCAAATAGATACAGGTCACAGGAGGCCACAATTTTTCTCTTGTACCTTCCCAAACACAAGCCTCAGTAAGCCAATGCCTCTATTAAATGGAAGCTTTGTCTTGTGCATGTTCACCTAACACAGGTTTCCCTGTATACCTAAAGACTTAACCTCTAGATCTAGATCACATACCTCAGAATCTGAACCAAAGAGATCAAAGTCGTCCTCATCATCATCTTTTTTAGCACTACCATTTGAGACTGTTGCAGAACCATAGCTGCCTAGATCTTTTTTGCTGCCAGGAAAAGAGGCCTTTTCAACACCAAATGAAGCAATGTGATTGTACCAGCGTAGGGCATGTGGAAGATCAGCAGATGGGCAGGCTGACAAGGCTTGAAATACCACAGTATCGCCTTGAGAAGGAACATAGCTGCAAAGGCAATATTTCACTCATCAATAAAGTTAAGACTGTAATTGAAAAGATGAACTTCAAGAAGTACCATGACACTATTTCACACATAAGGTAAGCTTTACAGCAGAGTAATTATCTAACTCTCCTGCACTGGAATTGACAGTGTGAGCATAAATGCTAGCAAGTGCCATTCTGTGTGGTTGATAAATCTTAAAAGCATCAGCAATTTATCATTGGCTCAGGCAAACAGAGTGATGGCCTCTGAACCCAAAAATCACTGCGACTCAACTATATCTTCACTAAGTTTAACAGGCCGCTTTAGCGTTTTTACCAAAGTCATGGACCCATTAGTTGAAGCCATGAAAATTCATAGTTGGTACACTTGTGTACATTATGTACGAAATTATACTAACAGCAGCCAATATACATCACATTCGATTTACGACGTAAAATGAGTTGACAAGAAATTTTCTTGATGAAAACTTCATATTTGCTGATCAGTAGAACTGCATGACTTCTCATTAAGAAAAATTATATATAATTTAAAAATTTCGAAGCAAAACGACTTAAACACGAATAATCAAAGAAATCTGTACGTGGTTGTTGGTATCACTCATTGATTCACTCGTAAGAAGAATATTATGTAATCAGTTACTCTTAGACGTTGGTGATCTGTCAAGATACTCATCTCAAAAGATTATACGGGGTTTAAAATCTAGAGTCATGCACGTGGATAGGTTAAAACACTGGTTACTTTTATTTTTGGCATTTTCCGGACACACAAACGCATATGAATTGAAAGTACTCACCCCTCGATATAGCTTTTATCCTCGAGGTATTTATTCAAGGCTTCTAAGCCTGATCTTGACTTCAGATCACCAAATCCCATGTCTTTTTACGGTGCTATGAACGATTCTACTAACACGTTCGACTAGCAGTAGAGAGAAAGGATTAGACTTACCCATCATGCATCCATATCACATCTCAACCTGTGCCCAGTCTAACGCGGCTAGGAATATGGAATGTTACGCGTCCATCAATCGAAGCTTCAACATCCCCGTGCCCCCCGGGGCACCCCTCCCCCCATCCGGGCATTTGAATTTTTTGAGGATTGGTTTTGTTAAAATTCCCGTACCCCTGGGACCAGAATAAAGTTTAAATGCCTCACACAAGGGCTGACCAAGCTTTAAAACCTCGTGTAACCTCTCAGGCGTTCAGTTAGTAAAACGAAGCGCCATAATAGAGGAGTGAGGTAAACCAGGGAAGGTTCGGATCGAATCGGGTCATGTAGCATGATGCTTGAGGGGGTAATAATGCTGGGAGCTTTCAGAGAAATGACTCTGTACCTTTGAATAAAGATTTTTATTATTTTCGCTATTTCCATTTCCCGACATTGGAGTCGGAATTACCAAGCTTGATAAATGTTAACCAGTTTAGTTCATGTTACTTCACACATAAAACTATCAGATATTTAATTGCGACCCAAACAAACTCTATATTAAAAATAAATATATTATTTCCATCGCAAACATATCCGACACGGTGTTGCGTGACGCGCCGAACGTCACGTCCCATTTCAGTCACGCAACTGACAACCAATGGTAATTGGTCAAAAGCTTACAGCCAACATCAAGAGTTAATCTTTTTGTGCGCGGTAGAAATGAAAAAAGAAAGTAACATTACAAAATGAAAACGGTAAAAACATACAAATGCTAGCCGTTAAAATATTGCAAAAAATTTAAAGATTCCAATCACTATGGAACGAGCCATGTAAGCAGAAAAGGATTCTTAACTGAAGTTCGCCCATAAGGTAGTTTTCCTAACATGAGATTGCCATACAATGCGGGAGCTGTTTAAAATGATGTGTCTCCTACAAGAGGACAAGCTCGTTCCTTGCGCGTTTTAGCCTTAACACGCGCCTCCCCCGCGGCGCTGCCGGAGTTATGACTCAGTTCCTGAACAGGTAAACAATGAGACGACTCATTTGTACGTTACTACATAAAAAAATAGTCGCCAACAACAGAAATATGTCAAATGGTCAGTTGGCCAACAGAAGATCTATTGTCAACGGAAAATGTTAAACGGAATTCGTCAACAGTTGTTGAATCGTTAAAAGCCCGCAGTTTCCAGGACTCTTTCATCGTGGTTTGACGGGTTCCAATGATTTTAGTTTCAAAGTCTTTAGACCGACAGAACGATACACGAAAGCCATCCTTGCAATAGTGAACTCAGTCGCAATTTCCCATTATTGCGCCGAAAAATTGTCGGGTGATCCAGTACAACACTTTAGCCTGGACACCAAGCTCGGTCTTAAATCCTTGACACTTGCACCTTCAATAATATTCGCGATGACCACAGTGCAACCAAAGTTAATCCCTAGACTCGGCTTGGGTCTGCTGAACTCCTCTCGAGAGAGAGAGAGGAATGTAAGAAAATATCTCCTTACTCATCACCAGGATCTCACGGACGCCCTCCGCCGTTGCCGGCCTGGGCCCTCTTAATGTAGAGGTTTAGCAGTTTCATCTAGGTAACAACAAACGAATAACAAAAAAAATATTGCTTTAGTGCCGTCCTCTCATGAATTTAATTATTTTGAGTGAAAAGGTAGGATGATTGGAATAACATGGATGAATAACACTGTGATGCAAAGATAAAAACAAAAAGAAGCAGCGCTGAGAATTTACAGATGAATCAACAGCCGCACAGAAGAAGAACTTTACCTTCGTTCCGGAGAGCTCAGCCAGATGCGGCATCAGAGTTTCTTCGCCAACCACACCATGTATTGCCACAAGACAGAACACACTGGCTTTACGGACACTGCTCTCTACATGGTCATAGCACTGGAATATGACAGAAATGCAGAACTACATTGAATACATTTGGCAAAAACCCTAAAGAACTCACATGAAATACAATATTGAAGTGTTGAATGTCTCCCAAATTTGCGTCAATTACTGTAAGCATTAAGTGACGTTGACGTCCACGAACGTTAAGTTCTGCGTGGGTTGACTGAGAAAAGTTTTCATTTTCGAGAATTTTCAACCCAAACCTCTTACACGGGTAGAGATGCACCATTAACACATTGCAGATTGATAAGAACAGGTGTAAAAATAGTTCTATTCTTTCTCCGCAAACTGTAGTTTTTCATATTCACCGCCATTTTTTGGGCGCTATAGTGTACCTCGTTGGACAGCGATATTCACGGAAATTCAACGCGCATTGTTAATTTTCTTTAAGATAAAAAGTTAACGCATTACAACGTTTTCGAACACCTACCCTGACTAACCCTGGTACGATCTCTCCTAAGTTCTCCTCGATTGTTTCGTCATCAATGTCCTCGACCACCTAAAAAGGAGACGTCATGAAATAAGGGACGAAACTTAATATCAATATTCATAATCTCCACACTGTTCTCTTTACACTTCCTATGGCACTGACAAAGAGCTTTGTTGATCCTTTCCTTAATTCTCATCACTTTTGTACTTGATTTAAGGGTGATACCGTCAGGAGAAATAAGAAGCCAATCACTCTCAAGGGTTAATGGGTTAATAGAAATAACTACATGGAATAAGTTTTCCATACGTTTACAGCATTTCTCGGCCGTAATATTCATGTGTAACGACGTTACAAAAAAAAAAGGTTCATTTATATTGTCTGAAATATTTCAACACGTAAATGAAGTTTGGGGAACCACACAAAAAATTAGGCAAAAAAAAAGTCGTGAGCGATAATTGTACCTTCATGATCATTTTAAGAGCTGCAAGATTGACGGGAAACTCAGCTTCCCGCAGGACTGGTGACAAAGCTTGAAGACAAACTTCCGGCGGAAGATTCTTGGCGATCGTCCCAGCAGCTTCTTCGGCCACTCGAGCAACCTAGAACAGAGGATGATAGGAACGTTTTAGTGAGAAAACCATAAATATAAAAAAAATCACTATAATGATAAGAGTGATAATGTAAAAAAAATAAATAAAATAAAAAATAAAAAAATTAAATGTCTACCTCTTTTTGTACATCTTTGTGAGCGTTCAGAACTGTCTCCACCATTTTGTCAATCTGTTTGTTGAAGGCCTGGGGTCTAGTTCGTACCATGTCTCTCAGGACGCGAAGCGACAGCAGTCGAACTGCGGGCTACAGACAGCAAAATAGAAAATTCAGCATACTACTGATTTGAAGCAATGTTACGAAGTGCCCTCGACTGGCTTATTAATATCCTGAGTTTCCAGGCAGGGGCATATCGGTGGGAACGTGGGGCTCTCAAAACCTTTCTTTTCCTCAAGATTATTGCCTAAATTCAATAAATATCAGATGCAATGTGCATATGTTTGGCTAAAAACCAAAACCTGAGATGTTTATTCAAGGGATACAAATAAAGGTTCCCGAGTTCAAGTACATTTTAAACAGAAGCGCAACCTGTTCCCCAACGAATACCAATAAACTTCTACTCCACAAGGAAAGGAAAAGGAGGGGTTGAGTAGTAGGGGCTTATCAGAAACTAGAAGTTCAAGACGTGAAGGGGAGGGGAGAGAGCGTTTACGATAATAAGTGAATAAGGAACACTTGGCAAACTGGGGCTTCTCACTAGAATTACCTCATCGTCTCCGATATTCTTCATGAGCAAAGACAACAAAGTGTTAAGGTTTTCCTCCCACAGCACAGGAGTGTCCTCTCGGGTCATCCTCAGCAACTCTCCCAGCGCCTCTTTCTTGTCATCGGACTGCATACCCGACGGTGCCCCCAAGGGGACCATGATAGGAGAGAGTGCATCTGCGTGTTCTAGAGACACATCTGAAGGATTGAAATTAAAGCGCATTTAGAGTTTTGAACCAGTCGGAAAGCGAAGTAAAAGTATTACCCTCTCAGTGCTTTCCTCAGTCTAGGAGAATTAATTGCTATCGGCGAACTGTTGAAGTCACCTCACAAAATCCTCAGGGAGGGGAAGGGCAGAGCCTGAAATGTACTAAAATCCATCCATGGCTGGAAAGGGTAGCGATACTCAGAGTCACTTCGAGCACCGAATCCCAGTGTATTTTCCGAGTAAATTGGTCTCTAGGTTCGTACACTGATTTTACGTTACAAATCTAAATTTCTTCACCTTTATCAAAGTGGTCATCACTGTGTTCCATTCCTTCTAATGACCGATCCAGCTCGTCCTCCACTTCACCATTCTTCTTCCGGCCAGCGGTAAGAAAACCGTTTATTTCAGGAACCTGAGAAAGAATCAAGAAATATCAAGGTTGAGACGACAAGTCGTTGCAAAAGGTCAAAGGAAATAAGGCACTTCAAACAGCGCGTTTGAAAATACGACTTCTCTACTAAAACTTGCAAAGACAAACCACAAAATGGAATATGACAGGAAGAGTTGCCCATAAGTTTTTTTTAACTCACTGGATGGAAGTCATTCTGCTGGTCTTGGTATTGTCTCGGGTCATATTTTTGTCCCGCGGATCCACTCGAGCTTGGCGGGCCAGCTGCCGTTGCTTGAGCAGTGTTTTCCACGTTAGCGGATGCGATATCGTCACTGTGGTACCCGGATGAAACACTTGGAGCGTCTTCCGGTGGATGAGAAGAGCCTTCCCCACGGTGTGGCGGTGGGGGCGAAGCAAACCTTCCGTCTAAGGACTCACTGGAGCTGATCGCTTCAGCCTCGAAGCTGTTGTCTCTTTTAACCGAGTTACCATTTGTCCGCGGTGAGAAACCAAACCTCGTCTGACCGCCTCGAGGGCTTTGAGCTGTTTTCGTTGGTGTCGGTATCTTTGTGTGATGGTCAGGCGAGCCCGGGTTTTCGTCCTTTCCGGGAGAGAGTCCTTTCATGGAGGACGAGGAGAGTGTTCTGTAACCCAGTCTTAACCGTGGTCGCTCGCTCTCGACGTCATCAAAATTAGAGCCAGCAGACGAAGGTGATCCACGGCCAGCAGCAAATGGCTGTAAGAAACAAAGTGGTGCTAATTTAAAAACTGCGTATACATATTGAATGTGCTACAATACACTGCAACGTGTCAGTTAAGTTAAGTTAAGTTAAGTAACGGCTCCTACCTCATTACCCTGTGTACTACTCTTTAAATGATTATGGAGCAGCTTCGTTGCACCATCCTGTAAAATAAACACAAAATTTCATTGTTTAATTAAACTATGCACGCTGACAGCAGTGCGAGCAACAGTCGTTTTGGTCGCCAAATCGAGTAGGAAATTTCGGCAACAGTTTAGTAATTTAGGATCGCCAAATAACGAATTTTAAGAGTTGAGATTAGAACCTTTCATTTGCCGTTACAAAAAATTGTTGTCAAAAAACCATTGGTTTTTCATCTTATTACCTGGAATGACTTCGGTAAAACGGTCAGCATCATGCTGAATTCTGGAGTGTTCAGTTCAAACAGAGCTACAATAACAGCTGCTGATTCCTGCAAATTAGATAGAGGGTTGAAATGAGAAACCATCCATTAGAATTCACTAGAATTTCCGAGCAGTCTTAAATTCTACAAATTTATGGTACACCATAGAAAAGTTTACCTTTCTGACGTCTGCGCTCTTCGGTTCCGTGGTCCAAGTGATTATACGAGAGACCGCCAAACGTGTTTCTAAATCACGTTAAGGTCAAAATAAGTACATACTTTATTCTGATCGTATTCACACTCTACAAGACACTTTCTTCTTATCTGGTTTCCTTTGAAATCCCCCCCCCCCTCCCACCCGATTACCTCATTAAAAAAATACCTATTTTGAGATCCATAACCGAACAAAATTGTAACCACATTTATTGACTCCTTATATTCAACATTTTCTGAGGGAAGGGGGGTGATCCCACGGAAGCTGGAGGGAGGGGGTGATGAGGCGAGTGTCTGTTCGACTCAGTGAACAGAAATGCCCAAACGACAGAGTAGTCGTGCAACGGCTGACCATTGAGGAATATATCAATAAAATGGCGAAGGTCTAAACTAGCCAATCGCAGATGTGCTTTGGAGGGTGACACGTGATTAGTCGACCTCATCTCCCGAAGACGTCCGACAGTCCACATGTCAAAAGGTCGCGACTCACATCGGAGGGGAGGGAAGGGAAGAGAAAGAAACAATGTCATAACTGAGTTTAAAATGCTGAAAGGATACCACCAGAGTTGGTGAAGTCGCTAGGATCCATCAGGCCGATAAGTCCTTGTAAATATTGCAAAATGGCTATTTTCACCTAAAACACAAGTAATAACGTTAAAAAAAGCAGATTACAAAGAAATACGACGGCCAAAGAGTAAAACAAAATTTGTGGATATCAATACCTTAAGGTTTGGCGTCTGAGTTTGATCAGTGATGAATCTTGTTAAAATGCTGAACTGAAGATCATATGGAAAGGAATCCCTGATGATCAAAAGAAGAAATCAAAACTCCATTAGCAATTATAACAGATCTGAGTTGGGTGCGACTTAATTTGAAATCGCAAGTATTTTTCACGTCCATTTTTTTTTAACAGAATTAGAATTTTCCGGAAATGTGAGCAGTTGTATTTAAAAAATGTTCTGAAATCTGATTGGTTGTTTTGTTTAGTTCTTCATTTAGAGAAAAATGCCAATCAGACTGTAGTGATCATCAATTACTGCAAAATGGATCTTTCGGCGATGAAATTGTAGAACTGAAAAACACATTCTAAACGAGAACAGAATATCTCTCTTTAGCCTTACCTGATCACATCCAGCACTCGGACCACTTTAGACTGTAACGAACTCAACAGGTCTGTACCGAGTTTGGTGAGAAGGCGTGACAACAGAACAAACAGCCAGTCATGGAGATCGACTTTGTTTACGACTATAAAGTCACACAACGCGTCCAGAAACAGACTGTAAACCTGCAAGAAAATCAAGCGATTTCAGCAAGAAAAATAAAGGAGGTTTTCCAAAAAAGGAAAAAAAAAAAAGTCAACGCAAACCGCACGATGAGCCAACAGCAACACATATCTGGTTCACGTACCATGCAAGACGCATGTGATCGAATTGTGGGTAAGTAAAATCTGATTGGAAGAGGACGAGTTCGATGTATTTGCACGTGATTAAGTCGCAACCTGTGACTGATCTAGTAAATGTTATTTGTTAACAAATCACGGCGAAAATTTACAGAGAAAATGATTTTACCTTATTATGTGGATCGAAAAACAATCTTGTGAGGCAGTCCTTTATTCGTCCAAGTTCTATTTGACTGTTGAGAAAGAAACATAGATAAACCCATTTACAACCTAATGCAGTAACATTTAAACGAAGAAGCAAATCAAAGAGTTAGTGAGATGACTATATCAAAAAACAAAAAGCAGTGGACACACCTGAGAACTCCCGAGTTAAGAAGGAAACCTTGCAGACAAATTACACCATCCCGTCTATCGGACCATTCGTTACTGCTGGTTAAACGAACTATTTCAGCTACCTCCTAGAAAGCAAATATAAAAACTGTAAGTCAGGGGGGAGCCGATTGGCTACCAATACAGAGCGCTTTATCAGTAACACATAACACCAATAAACAATTTTTTACTTATGAAAGCGCGAGAAAAATATGAACCCGAGAAAAGCGAGCCCAGACATGTACTAGGCTCGAAGTGCCGGAAAAAACCAGATGGTCGCAAGCGCAGGAAATCCAAATCAAAATATATCTTGACTGTCGTATTGTTAATGCCTAAAATTCTACTTCGCACGAGAATAAAGTTGAACGTTTTACCGACGAAACTCTAAAAAAATTCAACAAACATAACTATAGAATCACAAACGAAGGAAAAAAAGGCAACGAAAGAGCCTAGGAACGATTTTCTTAACTTTTCACACGCACGCTGCGTCATAAGCTGTAACTGTGACGTCAAATTATCACTTCGCTTTGTTTCTCGGATCGAAGCTGTGCGGTTTTTTTTTCGTGAGAGGAAAAGCGCGCTGTAACAATGAGGATTGTGATTTTGATCGTTGCGTTGGCAATTTTGCTTCAATTGACAGCGGTTACACAGGCTTTAAAACAAGAGGGTAAGTTTCAGCTCCGTTTTGCTAGTATTTCAAAGGTGTAACTTCTCTCCCGCCCGCGAAAAGTCGCACCAGATAATACGTGAAAAAGTTTTCACTATCACGGCAAGCAATTCACTTTTCCCTACAACGCAAGGACTTACCAAGTTAACATTTGCTAAAATCAACGCGCGTCAGACATGGGAATCTAAAAATGAAAGCTTTACCGACGGGGCATTTTAAAAAACCTTTTCACACTTCATCGGAAGAGTTAACAAGTTCGTGGTTGCCATGGTCGCATCCGCTGGGCAGTGCGCCCTTGACTAGCGCGTACGCACCAAGCACGCGCTTTAATCAGTATATTTTTGAAGTGCAGCAATAACGGTCACTACTCAGTTACTCAAAAAATCAACAACATATGTGGCTTGGAAAACTTTTTTGTTATAGATCAATAGGAAACAAAATTATAAAAAAGGATGGTAATTTATTTGTTCTCTCTTTTTCCCTAGATAATTTTCAAGCCATTGAATGGCAAAAACTACCTTTCGAAGATTTTAACGAAGAAACCTTCGTGGTCGGAACTTGGAACGATAAGGTTGGTTTTTTTCAGAAAAATTCTGAAAAACTTCACGAGGTTTCAAATTGCGGACAATCGAAGAGATAATAATACGATGTCTTTCACGAGGACGTGCATAAAAAAAAAAGGTTAATGTGGTTAATGTGAATGTTGACGTATTTTTCATTCCTTTTGTCATAGGAATACGAGATAAGGATTCGAGTGTTGTCGCTGGATCTGGATATGAAACTTGTTTTCCCCGACAAAAGAGGCTCTCGAGATTTGAACGGTCCACCTTTTGGGAACGATCCACCGAACCTTGGAAAGGTACTCAAGACACGTTTTCAAGTCCTGTACAATTACTTGTTTAGTCGAGTTTTTTCTAATTCGTCTTATCCTCTTTTCTCTCGGTCTTATTTATATCTGTTAGATTCTCAAGTGCAAAGAACTACCGGAGTACCCTGGGAATATGACATGTTCTGAGTACCAAGAGTACAAACGGAAAGAACCAGGATTGATCACTCGAGTGGGGACGATGATAAAAAACACGTGGAGCTTTACGGTGACGACAGTGGTTGAAACTTGGAGTATGTGTTCTAACGGCGTTGGAACAACGGCTAAGAACATTTGGAATGTATTGAAATGGATGATGGATTTGGTCGGTAAAGCTTGGAAAGGAATGTTGGAGTGGTTCGGTAGAATTAGGAAAGGATTGACAGATTACGTCGGTGAAATCTGGAACGGAATGAAAAGGTGGGCGGGACGGATTTTTTTAACGATGATGTGGGCGGATGAATATGTTTACCATGGAGGCTTACAGGTGGCCGAGTGGTACTGGGACTATACCGAATGGTTGACAGGGCTGACTTGGAACGGAACGGAATGGATTTGGGATCAGATTCGATGGTTGAACGGCGTCTCAAAGGAAAATGCTTCATGGCTAGCTGAGAATGCATGGATTGGATCAAAACAGTGGGCCGAGTGGGCATGGGGGGAAGCGAAACGGTTAGCGGACTGGTCTTGGAAAACGATTAAAAGGAATTGTAAACCACTTGAACCTGCGCTTGAGTACGTTTTGGAGACGGGAGAAGTTCTGATCAAGTTTTACAATGAATATGTTCACGGTGAGTAGAAAGCCTTGAGAGAAATACCCCAACGAACTCTGTGAAAATCCTTGGAAATATTCCTGTATACTCGAGAGATGGCCAAATCAAGCTTCAATTTCTTTGATGTAATTTTTTTGTTTCCTTTCCTAACAGGACATCTTCTCAAAATTAAAAGCCACATTATTATCTCGACCTGGCGTGAAGCTGGTTACACAATCTCAGTCGTATTGCTGATGAACTTTGTTGTGCTGGCTGTTTATAAGTTGATTTCGTGGCCTGTGAAGTTGATCCGGCGAAGACGGTGGGTAGAGAAACAAAACCGATATAAAAAACAATTGGCTAAGGTATTTTAACAAACTCATACATCGAAATCGTAGGAAACTCTTTAAACAGCCTATTAGTGTTAACTAAGTCACCAAATGGACGTTTTATGTCTACTTTTGACAAATGCTTTCTCTCTCAACTAACCTTT